ACGAGGAAAAGAGGACCTTCACCAGGATAACCCAAGGTGGCATCAAATTCCAAAGAGGGAAGGCGAAGCTCAGAGAGAAGAGGCAAGTCAGAGACAACGCCGAAAGGAAAAGCACAATTGGGATACAGGGCATGGTCAGTGAGATCAAGGGCAGACGGACCCAACATACGAAGGATGAGCCGAGTCCAATTCGAGGCCCATCTCTTTAAACGAGGCAAAGCAGCTAGACGATAGATGTCCCTGCGGCCCCAGGCGGCTAAATCCAAGCCAGGAGTAGGGTCCCTCAAAACCACATCCCTTGTAGGATCATCAGAAGGGTTCAGCCTAGTGGGAGCAAAACCAAAAACGGGATACAGTCCTCCAATGATACAAAAAGCCGCAAGCCTGGAAAGAGCCCGAGAAAGGGCCTTCGATGAAGATCTACCCTTCGAGGCTGCACATCTCACAACATTCGAGTCAATAAGGATTACTAATCGGAGAGAGACCCCACGTTTCACGAGCTTATGTATTAGCCTTAGCACAGCTTCAAGTTCAAGAATGTTTATATGAGAGCTAACTCGGTAGGTCCAGACAGACACCAGCTCCCACTTCTGAGAAGAGCACAAATCATTCAGCATCTGGCTTTCCAATCCATCCACTGAGCCATGTGCAAGGCTTGCTTCAAAAGCTGACAGACGCAGGATCCCATAGGCCATCACCTTAGCTAGCGCAATTGCAAGATCATGGACATAGGTTGCTGAGGCTTTCGTGAATTTACCTTGGACCAGAACATGTTTGTGACCTCCAGCGCATCTTAAGGAAATATGTTGCACTTCGGCCCAAGCACACAAAAATGCAAACGATTTGAGGTGAACTGACCCGTAAGCACAGGAGTCGCATCTTACCAAAGCAACATGTTCACAACCTTGCAGTGATTTCCATGCAGGGAGAAACTTGATTTTTGAAGACCATGGGTTCTCGATCACTCCAGTCACTCCATGCTTTACGCAAAAATGCAAGAGTTGAAGCGCTCTGTGGGCCAGTTTGGTCCCTGTCCTCGTATGCAACTCATCAGGCTGGAAACCAAAAGGTTGATGCTTGGATCTCAATGCTGGTCTTCTCATGACACTAAAAGTCGTGCAAGGAGGCTCGAGCATTATGGCTTTCACATAGCCGTTGGTTACCAAATGAATCAACCATTCCAGCACATGCAACCTGTCAACGTCCAGCTCAGCACTAAAGGACAAGTCAACAGGCGGACCAACAGTAAAACCTAAGGCAGCCACCTCTTTGGTTACAACTGAAGCACCAGCAAAAACCTCAATGAAATCAAAACGATAAGCCAGGGGCCTCTTAATACTGTCAGAAACGTAGGGCTCGTTCTCTTCAAAATCCAAGGCACGTGCCAAAACTGATTGGGAGGGTGATAGCAATTTAGAATAGCCACCCTTGGATCTGCAGCAACGCAACAAGCAGGTGGCCAGATCCTTGTCAATACGGCTCTTGACAATTGCTCCTTTGTTCAGTGATGCATCCGTCGCAAACAGCTCTGTGCAGAAGTCAACAGCAACATCGGCAACGCATAGAGGCGCTAGGACGCCTAGTAAGCACAGCTCTGTTGCAACCTTTCGTGGAAGGCTCACTAACTTGGGGCTCGAGGCATTAAAGAAGGCCATATCAACAAGCTGGAAAGAAGACTGCAGGATTGACATGAAGGGTCGCCTAAACATAAGCGCAGACGTCCAACCACCAATCAAACAGAGATGTAAAGCGTCTGTCGTATGAGTCAACTGGCTTACCTGAAATGAAATCCAAGAGAGAGCATATCTTTTTTCCGCAGGAGCTGCTACCAACACATGTCCTTTTTTCTGGCATTTTTCTGAGGCATTGACGCTAGCACCTATGATCTTGGCTTTTCTGGATCCAACAATGTCTTTGTCATCAGAGCCAATTATCTCGTGCTTCGCGTACACCTTTTTGGAAGTGCTAAGGCATGAAAGGGAAGGATCTGCAACCAACACACTTCGAGGCACTTTCGCAATCACAAAGTAGTCATCAATCACCAGTCCTTCGCAAACTTCATCACCTTGGAAAGGACGGGAAGACAAAACCCTGGAGGTTTCATTCAAAAGCCCAACTGACTGCAAAAGCTGCTCATGTGCTCTGGTTGCAATTTCAACACTGGCATGGTCTCCCTGAAATAAAACTACCAAAGCTCACCATACAGAAACCCTCGGGGCAAGCTGAGAAGGACTGTCTGCTGGAAAGACCAAGGCGGTCCCCACCAACAATACGGCTCTTTTTAGCAGCTTGCTTGGCACATGCAAAAGAGGTCATAGCTTGGGTGTCTTTCAGGAGGCCAATAGGAATCCTAGGTCCAACCGTGTTCGATTTGATCCTATTCTCGGTGCACCAAAACTGATGGTAGAAGTCGCGTCTATCAGTGCAGGATATGGAGAGTGTCTCTTCGCGCGCATTTACGAAAAGGTCAAGGAGATCAGGGCCTGACGGCAGGTTTTTGGAAGGTCCGGACACCCTACCCTCCACTGAATTGCGGCCTCTTCTATCACCAATCTGTCTGTCGCACTCTAGGTTCTTAAAACAGTTGAAAACCCGGACAAGCTCAAAGTGCTTTTCCCTTTGCAAGTCAGTTTCATGTATATGTAGTAACCCACGTGCATCCCATAGCTTTGCCAGCGAAACGACCTCATCTCGCGGGTCCATTCTCAAAGGATATTCGGAGGCACCAGGAGTTCGATCAAGCAGCAAGGAGTCAGGATACCTATAAGCCATGCAAAGTTCAGGGCAAAGGAAACTAGTAGCGTCAAAATGTCCACGACCAACCACCTTCAAACGGCTAGCATCAAGCGTTCTGTAGGGCTCGGTCTCATCAAACAAGCTGTTGTCAAGTGGCACATCATGACCTGGGTAAGTCTTCTCATAGGGACCTGCTCCAGCACCTAATTTTGTCAAAGTTCCAGACAGTTGGTGAAAACGTCGACCACTGCGCAAAACCTCAAAAGGCTCAGTCGGGCCGTCAGCCAGCATAAGGCCAGCAAGCCTACGGAGAATTCGCATTTGGCTTGCTGATGGCGCCCTCTCCAGATGCTCTAAAGGGATAAAGCAGCTTCCACTCCACCAATTTCTAGTTTAGGGCCATCACCACAACGTGCAAAGCTCGCCTAAAATGGCAACGATTCCTCTTGGAAGATGAAAGACCTGGAGGCATCCTTGCGAACACTCCACAGAAGGGGACAGGCAAGGGGAAAGCCGGCGATGACGAAGTCACAGTGCTTCGTTGCAGATGCAAAGTGGCATGAAGGAACGCTGAAAAAGAGGAGCGTGTCCTCAATACTGAAATGGCCAAAAATGAACACCATTTTTTAAAGGACAGGGTGTCCACTGGGCTCCTATGAATTCCTGTACGCTTCAGGGCTTGCACTTCAAAAGGGTCATCCTCGGATGGGCATTGGCAAGGACATGACCTACATTTCATGCAAACAGAGTCAAAAGTTTTGTGGTTAACTCTATCATTAATTACTTGAGCTATTTGTTCAGAGGCAACTTTGCACCCTATGAACTTCTGCGTAGGCTTCTCATTTTTTAGGCCTCTGGAGCGGCCTTTGCTTTTGGCTTGCGAGGAAACCTCGGCTTCCTTTTCGGGGATGCTTCGCGATCTGGTTCGATAGCTGCTGCGCTTGGGCTGCCTTCGGTTTGAGAGGGCGCCTTTGCAATGCGTTTTGCTGTCTCTCCCTTCTTCGTGGAAAGGACTTCCAGATCTTTCAAATAAGCCAGGCAAACTGCTGTCCACGGCGGTGGAACTAGAGGGCCAAAAGGCCTTGGTGAGCTATGCTGGCAGCCCGATCTTGGAAAACTTGGATCGGCGGTTCTTCCATCAAGGTAAGCATGAAGGCCAGTGTCCAGTCTCCTCTGTCGGTTACAGCCTGCTCGACCGAAACCATCAGCAAAGCGAGCAGTTCCTTCGTCATATGAAAGTCTCCTGCTGATGCAGCATCTAGTGCATGACCTAACACCCAGGCAACTAGACCTAGTTCCCGATTGTTCTTGTAACCTCCTTGTCTTTCGAGGTATTGCAACACTGACAGGGATTTCAGGTTTTCCTCTGTCTGGGGGACAGGCTTGGAGGGATGAAGTCTGCGGTGCAACTGCTGCATCATCTGCAAGAAATACTGGCTGTTTCCACAAGCTAGATCGTTCTGCATTTTCTCTCTGCGTTGAACGCCTTTGTTGAACTCCCAACCTGCCCTGGTGTAGCAAGATCTCCTAAGACATCTCCTGACTGTTCCGTCAGGTGAGCTACCAAGGCTGTCAGCGCTGTGCTCTGGTGGGTCAGCGCAGCAAGCATTCCATCTGTACCTTCTTGGGGCTGCAATGCATCGTACGGCTCGTCTCCTTCGACAGCGGCTGCACCTTGGGTCCCGACCACATTTCGCGTCTTGGGAGGAGGTCCTATTAGGCTCAGTGCTTTTGCTCCAATAGTCTGTGATACGCCACTGGGATTCGGCAAGCCCGCTGACACAGCCGGCAATTTGGAAACCGGCCCAACATACTGTCCTGGCACATCGGCGGCAGAAGAGCTTGCCATCTGTTCCATGCGATCCTGACGTTGAGTGATCAGCTGGAGTTGGGCAACCACTGCCGTCAATTGATCGGCGATCATTGCATTCGATATTTTCTTGGCCGTGGCTTTCTTGGGGGCTGTAACAGCCTTTGGAGGGCTTGTTTCCTGGTCTTCTTGAGCGGAGTAAAAACCCGTCCTGTCATCAGATCTCAAAAGGAGCCACTCACTGACATGAGCCAAGAGCACCGATACATCAGGCAAACTGGAAGGACGCTCATTTGAAAAACCAAGGATCGTTGCAAGGGAGTCAGTGACTGGATCATACTCCCTACATTTTGACAAAATGTCATCATGCACATCAACTACAAACACCTGAGCCTCAATTCCGAGAGGCACGGCAACTGGCGTCGGAACATCATCTGCTTCTTCTAGAAGCCCTGCAGAGAAAATTGAATTCGGACCAAGCGGATGCTCATCAGATCCTGTTTGACCATCTGAAAGGGTCTGTGCGGAAAGGCTGTCATGTGGGAGGGCTAAAAGTAAACCTCCCTGTCTGAATTCCAGAGGCAGCGCATACACGTCTACTTCATCCCCTACTGAAGAGGCAACAGCAGGTACAGTAAGCACAAGCAAGGTAGGTTCACCTTTACTTGCAGGCCTCACATTCTCCTTCCTCAGCATTTTGTACGGCGGAAGAGAGGGGGAACTGCGATATGTGCTCCTTGGCAAAAGACTTCCAGCTCCGTCTCCGTTTCAAAACCGTGAAATACACACCCTCCAGCAAAGATCTGCTGACGGAAATGATTGAAATCAGCCTCAGAATCAAATCGAACGACACCGCCGAGCCCGCAAGCACGGAGAACAATGAAGTGAGAACTTTTCTCTGAAACCACCGCAGGGGCAATCTGGTCTGTGAAAGTCTCCAATGCAAGTCTGGCCCAAAAGCCTGCTGAAAACGCAAGGTGGACACGATTCAAGGCTTCGGTCTGATCCCAGGCAACAAAAGCCGCCTGCTCTTCCACAATTGCCGGAACAGGTCCTGGACCCTGATCAAGGGTTCGGAATTCTGGGCCAACAAATTCTGGTCCTGCTTCCTTTTCCAAAGTCCACAGACGGGCGATCTGAGGAATGCCCGGGAAGGAAGTTTTGGGAAGGGAAGTACCCGCAGCTGCAGCACGGGCCTTTGGATCACCTCTACGATAACCTTTTCCAGCCCCTTGAGACGAGCTGGAAGATTCCTCCTTCTTCTGCCAATCTTTCAAGCCTTTCAATGAGATCACGAAGCTCACTGGAGGTAAAAGGAAAGCTCATTCAAGATATCGTGCCAGCCTGGTTCTTGGAGCAGCAGCAGCTGGGAACAAGAAGTGGCAAAGAGGGACGCGGAAAATCCAAAGGACAAGCAAAAGTCCAGAAACAATCAAGCCAGCGGAGAATCCGATGCAAAGTCCAAAGACCAGCCAGGCAATGCAAGAGGGATGGCAGTGAAATGGGCAAGAAGCAAATCGAGAGAACTCGTTAGCGAAGGCCAGCCACTTCCAGACCCTATCAGCTAAATCTACATGCATTTGTCTTGAGCGGCAAGGAACATGCATTTCACCATCGAACTTAGAAGTGCATATATATATATATATATAGAAAGATAATTAGATAGATAGATAGATAGATAGGATAGGATAGGATAGGATAGGATAGGATAGGATAGGATTAGATAGATAGGATAGGATAGGATAGGATAGGATAGGATAGGATAGGATAGATAGGATAGGATAGGATAGGATAGGATAGGATAGATAGGATAGATAGGATAGATAGGATAGATAGGATAGATAGGATAGATAGGATAGCTAGGATAGCTAGGATAGCTAGGATAGCTAGGATAGCTAGGATAGCTAGGATAGCTAGGATAGATTGGATAGATTGGATAGATTGGATTAGATTGGATTAGATTGGATTAGATTGGATTAGATTGGACTAGATTGGACTAGATTGGATTAGATTGGATTAGATTGGATTAGATTGGATTAGATTGGATTAGATTGGATTAGATTGGATTAGATTGGATTAGATTGGATTAGATTGGATTAGATTGGATTAGATTGGATTAGATTGGATTAGATTAGATTAGATTGGATTAGATTAGATTAGATAGATGGATAGATAGATAGACAGACAGACAGACAGATCGATCGATCGATCGATGGATATAATTTAAAAAAAAACAATCACAAGAGCAATAATAATATGTAATGATAATGGTGATAGTATAGTTATAGTAGTAGCAATTACAACAATGATAATGAACCCCAAATGGCAGTAAATCCAAGGAAAACCGTCCCTTCAACAGACATCCTCTTCAGGATAGCTCAAGTACCAGAGGCTTCCCTCTGGTACTATGGCACTTGAAGATCTGGCACACCAAAAACCCTGATTTCCAGATGATATTCCACTTGAAATTGAGAATGTCTCAATATCTCGTTACCAAGTTGAATTACCAAAGGGTCAACCCGCAGCAAAACTGGCTGATTTCCCATCAAAAACCGTGATCTCAACTTATCTTCTGGGAATTTAAACTAGACATGAATAACACACCATTTCTTGATCTACTACCCTCCATCATTTCGTAACATGTGGAAAACTGTGGATTGCAAGGGAAACAACCATCCGGATTTCCATCGGGTTTTCTCGGTCAAAGAGACCATGTCCTTCTCCTTCGCCGGCAATCCGGCCTGCGTTTCGGTCATCAAACGTGGATGGAAAAGCTCCATAAAAATTACCGAAGAAAACGATCCAACAAACAGGTTGAAGCACCTGTTTCGTTTCTCGAAAGACAGTGCAAACAGCTATGAATACCAAAAAAAAAGTGTCACCAGATACGGGGCAAGGACTACCCGGCTACGGGGCAGGTAACAGTAGCTTTGGAGTTCAACCCCCTTTTTGGCTACATCCACTGGTGAATCCTCATTTTCCCCATGAAAATTCCCATGAAAATTGGAGGCGAATCCTCCATTTTGAGACGCACACCACCCATGTTGCCACGGACCACCCAAGTTGAGTATTGAGACTTCACAAACAGGTGCTTGAACTCAGAACTCAGAAGCCATATCTGGCTACATCTCCAACTCTCCATTGTTTACCTCTTCAGCTAAAATGGTAAAACAATGGTAAACCTGACCTTTTTACCATCCAAACCATCCCAGTAACCATAAACATCTGGTGTTCTATACAGCATCCCAGATTGGGGTCCTGGTTTATCGCTGGGTTGACCCCCGATTGGTTCCCCAGAAAAAAGGTGGAGAAAAGCTGCTTCTATCCACCTTTTTTAGAGCCCTATTGTTGGAATACCATCCCTTTCTGTTGCTGGATTTAATATGATTTAATCCCCCATATCTCCACTGTTGATGGTCACAAGTTTGGTGCTTGTAGTTCTTGTTATGGTTTTGTCCGGCCCTATTGGATCCCATGATTGCTAATCTAACTCATGTTGTTTGTTGGATCCCTGATCTGGTTGAATCATGTTGAATCCCTTCGGCTGGTTGAATCCCGATATGGCTGTTTAACCATCAAAAACCAGTGGGCTCAAGTTCTTTCAACCAACGCACCTGTGGGTTTAAGTTCAGTTAAGCAGTAAACGTGGGGACGTTTACTAGTCTACCAATGGACATTGAAAATATCCTTCAACATTGTGTTTGTTTAAACATAGTTACCAGTAAACAGTGGGAAAAAGTCATTAACCATGGTTTGTTGTCTTTTCTATCAACAAACCTTGGATTGGTTGTCATAAGAAATGTTTGTCTTCGGTTTTGCATGGTTTTGCCAACAGTAAACATTTGCTTTTTAACCATGAAAAATGTTCTTTACAGTTTTTGTACCAATAAAAGAAACCTGGGTAAGACTATATATAATAATGACATATTATTACCGATGAACATCAGGATGGACCAGTCCCACTTTATGGCACCTCAACCGCTTCGCTTTGCAGGTATCGCGCGAAGTCAGACACCACATGCCGAAGATCCTCTGCTTTCAGCAGCTCAAGCAGCAAAAAGCGGAGTTTTTGAAGGAAGAATCTCGAACTTCAAGAAAAAAATGGGTTGAAGTTGATTTGAAGTGCTTCAAGATGCTTTAAGATCGTGAAACGGGGGAAATCAACAGCATTTTTTCAAAAATTTGGGGGTTTTCGTATGATGCAAATATGGCACTACAGCTTGGTGATTTTCACAATGCCAATCCTCTCGCCAGCGGTTGTGCCAACATAGGTGCATGGGTGGTAGGCCGTAGGAGTGACTCGAACCCCAATTCGGTGTGTGCGGATTGAAGTCCAACCTAAGCAGATTCAGGAAAGCCATATGTCAATGGGTTGATTTACAGGTATTTCAGGAATTTGATCAACGAAATTTCCCGGTAGCTGTCATCCCTGAGATTTATGTTTCAACCCTTCATCGAAATCTGGAAATTGGATAACTTCGAAATTGTCTGAGACAAGCAAGAACAACGCGAAACCAGGATACCAGGGAGATACCACGACCAGCGCACTCCAAACTTTATGCACCTCCCAAACTTGGATGTGGTTCCCTTTCAGTGATGCAATAGTTTTTGTTGACCCAGAAAATCTACATGTATGCATACGTACTCAAAAATTTAAGCCGACGTAGATCCCCAACAGCGGTTGGTTTCAAACAGTGGTCCAACTTTGCAACCCAAGACGGATTAATGATGGCAGGAACAGGATTCCATAGCCTAAGTCTCTTCGGCGATTTTTTGCCCGCCCTGCCCCGTCCCCTTTTGGACCAAAGGCAAGATGAGACATGTTCTTTAAGAAAGCGCGCATAATTGAATTTACATACATTTGGTTACAAACGAATGGCAGTATTTGCAGACCACGGTGTGTCATTAAGTGTTTACAAAATTGTGTGTGTGTGTGTTGGTTTGGGATTATCTTGTCGTGCTTGGACAACGTCGGTCAGTTTGCGCAAGTGATTGGTGAAACAGTTGGTTTTGGCCAAATTGTCCATCATGATTCCAGAATTAGTTTCATGTCAATACTTGGTTGTTGTGTCACAACTGTGTCTGAAGTTTCATTGTGTGTTGCTGTTTGGTCACTTAGCTTTAAAAAAATCATCTACCTGGCTTCGAGAAGCCTCACACAGGTTTGCTGCCAATATTTAGGTGTTCCAAGGCATCGAACTTAATTGCTTGATGTGGCATGTGCTTTGGTAGATGCGACATCGGAACAGTTCAAACAGAAGATTTTACAGCAACATCAGAACAGGTCAGTCGACCGACGCTGTGCGCCCACTGAGCAAACGAACATGAATCGGCATGTGCGGAACCCGCCACAAAGCACCCAAGATTGGCTGGGGGATTTCCGGAATCCCTTGTGTTCCTGGAACCTTGTCTTCCTGGAACCCTCGTTTCCGGAACCTTGGCACAACCCACAGCGTATATTGGAACCCTGGGTTTGCGGAACCGAGACGCGCTGATTTATTGTCACGCTGTGCCCCCCCCCTGTCAGCGATTGCTCGTTGACAGGGCCTATATGGTCCTGGAACCTTGGTTTCCTTGAAAATTGGTTTTCTGGGACCCTGTCCGTAGCATGAACCTTGGTACAACCCACGGCGTATATCCGACCCCTGGGTTGTTTCCGGAACCTCGGAACCTTGCCAGAACCCTGGTTCTCTGGAACCTGGGCTGGGCTTCTTGAAAATTGTTGTTCCGCAACCTTGTCCCTGTCCGGAACCTGTGGCATAATCCAGGAAGTATATCCAAACTGTGGGTCCGCATCCGCGGTGGTTCTCGGAACCTTGTCGGAACCCAGTGTTGCTGGAACCTTGCCGGAACCCTCGTTCCCCAAACTCTGGGTTTCCAGGATGTTTCAAAATTGGTGTTCCGGTGATTCCAGAACCGCTCGAAACCATGGTAAGGTTCCCGGAACCTTGTCGAAAGCCAAGTGTGCCCGGAACCTTCCTGGCGCCGAGAACCTGGGGATCCCGGAACCTTGACGTCCCGGAACCCAAAAGGTAGCCAGAACCCATTGTTCCCAGAACCTTGCTTGAAAGTCTGGTTTGCGGAACCTGGAACCTTGCCCCGAACCCTGGTTCCCGGAACCCTGAGTTCCGGAACCTTGCCCGGAACCCTGGTTCCCGGAACCGGCAGCGGTTGGTTTCAAACAGTGGTCCAACTTTGCAACCCAAGACGGATTAATGATGGCAGGAACAGGATTCCATAGCCTAAGTCTCTTCGGCGATTTTTTGCCCGCCTTGCCCCCTCCCCTTTTGGACCAAAGGCAGGATGAGACATGTTCTTTAAGAAAGCGCGCATAGTTGAATTTACATACATTTGGTTACAAACGAATGGCAGTATTTGCAGACCACGGTGTGTCATTAAGTGTTTACAAAATTGTGTGTGTGTGTGTGGTTTGGGATTATCTTGTCGTGCTTGGACAACATCGGTCAGTTTGCGCAAGTGATTGGTGAAACAGTTGGTTTTGGCCAAATTGTCCATCATGATTCCAGAATTAGTTTCATGTCAATACTTGGTTGTTGTGTCACAACTGTGTCTGAAGTTTCATTGTGTGTTGCTGTTTGGTCACTTAGCTTTAAAAAATCATCTACCTGGCTTCGAGAAGCCTCACACAGGTTTGCTGCCAATATTTAGGTGTTCCAAGGCATCGAACTTAATTGCTTGATGTGGCATGTGCTTTGGTAGATGCGACATCGGAACAGTTCAAACAGAAGATTTTACAGCAACATCAGAACAGGTCAGTCGACCGACGCTGTGCGCCCACTGAGCAAACGAACATGAATTCGGAATTCAGTGAGGGGCCACAAAGCACCCAAGATTGGCTGGGGGATTTCCGGAATCCCTTGTGTTCCTGGAACCTTGTGTCCCTGGAACCTTGTCTTCCTGGAACCCTCGTTTCCGGAACCTTGGCGCAACCCACAGCGTATATTGGAACCCTGGGTTTCCGGAACCGAGACGCGCTGATTTATTGTCACGCTGTCCCCCCCCCTGTCAGCGATTGCTCGTTGACCGGGCCCTTTTGGTCCTGGAACCTTGGTTTCCTTGCAAATTGGTTTTCTGGGACCCTGTCCGTAGCATGAACCTTGGTACAACCCACGGCGTATATCCGACCCCTGGGTTGTTTCCGGAACCTCGGAACCTTGCCAGAACTCTGACCTTGTCCCTGTCCGGAACCTGTGGCATAATCCAGGAAGTATATCCAAACTGTGGGTCCGCATCTGTGGTGGTTCTCGGAACCTTGTCGGAACCCAGTGTTGCTGGAACCTTGCCAGAATCCTGGTTCCCCAAACTCTGGGTTTGCAGGATGTCTCAAAATTGGTGTTCCGGTGATTCCAGAACTTTGGCACAATCCAGGCTCTGGCTGCTCGAAACCATGGTAAGGTTCCCGGAACCTTGTCGAAAGCCAAGTGTGCCCGGAACCTTCCCGGAACCTTGACGTCCCGGAACCCAAAAGGTAGCCAGAACCCATTGTTCCCAGAACCTTGCTTGAAAGTCTGGTTTGCGGAACCTTGGGTTCCTGGAACCTTGCCCCGAACCCTGGTTCCCGGAACCCTGGGTTCCCGGAACCTTGCCCCGAACCCTGGTTCCCGGAACCGGTTCTCGGAACCCTGGTTCCCGGAACCGGCGAAACGAGGCGGCAGGGTCGAGCAGTGCCCCGGAGCACCCCGAAGGCTATGTGGGCTGAGACCCCAAAGCATTCTGCTGTTGGGGAAAAAACCTTATATAATTTCATCTAATATCTCAGTGTGTTTCTATATATATATATACATATATATACATATATACATATATATACATATATACATATATATATATATATATGGGTAAATTATAATATTTCATTAACCTGAATTAAGGCTATCTTGGGGATCATTTCCCTTACTAACCAGTATTCCAGTGACTTGGTATCTATCCCTTGGTTCATCTCCAAGGCACCACAGCAGGAAGAGGAAGATCAGATCTCCCCAGAGGCGCCCCGACAGCAGCGCTGCATCGCTGGATGCTGCGGTCTCCGAGGTCGATGCCGTCAGCAGGGACGACAGGCCTTGGCGGATGCGCCGGGGTGCCTTGGGGGATGATGTATATACATATATATTGTTTATATATAGTTCTCTATATATAATATAATATAATATAATATAATATAATATAATATATATATAATATAATATAATATAATATAAGATAATATAATATAAGATAATATAATATAATATAAGATAATATAATATAAGATAATATAAGATAATATAATATAAGATAATATAATATAATATAAGATAATATAATATAATATAAGATAATATAATATAATATAATATATAATATAATATAATTAATATAAGATAATATAATATAATATATATGTGTGTGTGATGAATTTATGATACATCTATAGAATACTTTTATATATTGATCATCCTGCTGGGGCGTGGCACTCTGGTGGTGCTTCTGTCGTGCTTCCGCTCGCCATGGTGAGCCAGTGTACCTGAAGCTGGGTCAATGACCATGGTATAGAAAATAGGGTTCCCCGGTAAAATTGGGGTTTCCTTAAATGGGGGTACCCCCATAGCTGGATGGTTTATCAATGGAAAATCCTATCAATTGGATGATGTTAAATGGGGTACCCCCATGACTTCGGAAACCTCCAAATGGCCACAAATGGAGTGGCCCATCCCCAATTCTTACCCGTTTCTCCAACCCTGCAACACCAATCATGACACCCACCCGTTCAGCCGTTCTCCCGCCACGCTACACATGTGGCATGCCGGCCCATTGGGGTGAGAGATGCCATTGCAAGGCGTCCCAGATGCAAACCACTGCCCTTTGCACGGCCATCTGAAAGCTTTCACGCCTCTCCTGTGGCGCGGGATGGTCTGCACCCTGGGGGATACAGAACTGGAGAGATTTTGATGGGTAGACTACCATGGGGCCTCACTGGCACCCACTCAGTACCTCGAACTACACCCCAAGCAAGGGGATCTTTACGAAACAGAAAACAGGAAAAAACATGCCGAAAAAGTGAAAATCTCAGAACTTCATCAAGCTGAAAACCGATAAACTTCACGATGTGTATCATGCACTCCAACAAATATCACTGCACATGTGGTTCCCAAGACTTATCACCACCAAAATTCCACACCTCCGCCGCCCCAAGAAAACACGCGGCCAAAAACCTACATATTCGCGCCCAAAAACCTTGTTTGTTGGTGTACCTCCCCATGTTGGCAAAATCAACCATCACCCGCCATTAAATCCCCCGAAAAAAGAAAAAAAAAAACTCTTATTTATAAGACATAACAATTTGCATATCACAAAAGTCCAGCCCGAAAAGAATCCATCACTCCGGCGCCAGCGCCTCATCAGGCACCAGCTGATACCTCTCCCGGTCCCGCACGGACGTGCGGAGGCGTTCCGCCTGCTGCGGCGAATGCTCCGCCGCCTTCATCAAGGCATAGCCACCTCTGATTTCACCAACGGACGACTTCAGCTGGCGGCGAAGAAAAACATGGATTTCAATGGAGAAATTGTTGGTAGCAAAAGTTCAAGGGGCGATCTGATTTGGCTGTTCAATACATGGATGTAGCTGATGTGGACAGCCTAAACCCCTGGGATTCCTGGAAAGCCGGTCCCCTGTGTGGTGCCAATAGGGCACTAGCATTGTTGATGCTAGCGCAGGAAAAGTGTTGACTCCTGGCTTATTATTGACAATGAAGGCTACACAATTTCTACTAGAAACTGAGAGTAACTAACAATATTCTATCATTTTTGGGGGTCCCCCTGCTTCAAAAATGGTTTTGTCATCCAGGTTAACCATTTCAAAGGTGGCAAAAATGCTCCCAAGAGACACCCTTGCATTGGAGGGATCGTCTGCAAGAATCTAAAAGTGATGCTTGAAATCTGTGATATGGAACATTTTCCCTCCCCTCTGTCAGTTGATTTGGTGTGTGTGTGTGTACATACGTACGTGTGTGCCCATATATATATATATATATATATGATCATATACATGTATGTACTGTATATATATATATATACATATATATATACATATATATATACATATATATATACATATATATATATATGCACATACATATATATATATATATATATGTATTGTAATGTTTACAGATATACGTACCATGCCATACCATACCATGCCATCCAATGCCATCCCACGGAAAAAAAAAAACATACCATGCCATAAGATATGTGCCATACAATAATGTGAATGTGTATGTATATAGCATCTGCTTATTTAACATAGCCATGGAAAATCACCATGCTATTAATAGGTAAACCATCTATAAATGGGCCATCTATACCATGGCTATGTTAAATAACCAGAGGGTATATATATATATATATACATATATATATATACATATATATATACATATATATATATATATATCATGACCCTTTGACGATGATCATCACCACACTTTCCCAAGCCTGCAATCGCAGCAGCGCCCGCAGCGCCACCCACCAGAACCACGGGAGAGGCTTCAGCCACTGCAGCAGCTGCTGCGGTGGCTACCACACGTACGCCTGGCTCGGAGATGTTTCATGGGGATGAAAACGACCATCAATGGAGATATTTCATGGGATATATAATGGGACATATACCCAATATAGCTAAAGGAAATCACCATTTTTGAGAGTTAATTCTAGATGCGCTATTTTCCATGGCAAACTGTTGGTTTTTACCCCTGGTATTGATGTCAAATTCATGAATGGGTTTTAGCCGTATGTAAGCAACTAAAAATGGGATACAAAACCAATCACAATGAGGACCTTGCGGTGAGCTATAATTGGATATATTGTTTGATGGATATGAATGGGATATATCAGTAACAATATCACATGTTGAAACATGTTGGATATAACTTGATATAACCAACAAAATGGTGTTTAACCAACAACAAATGAAGACATAGTGGTATAATTATATATATACGTATATATATATATATTGGTATAGATTGCCAACAAAACTTTTGTCAATAAACCGCAAACTGTCATGGAGAGAGGATGGATATTTTCGATGGGATATATAATCAACAATATGGTATGGGTGTGTCTGAACATGTCGGAATATAATAAATGAAGAACTGATGAGTCAATGAGATCTCATTCTTTGTAGCGATGAAAATCATATGTTATGGTACCATCTGGTTATTTAACATAACCATGGAAAATCACCATGCTATTAATAGGTAAACCATCTATAAATGGGTCATTTATACCATGGCTATGTTAAATAACCAGAGGGTATGCCAAAAAAAGGAAAGGTTATTTTACCGCTATCTTAGTATGACTCACTGGACCGTTTCTATCTTCTTGGGGCTTGCTGTAGCTTCAATGGGTAACCATCGACGATGGGGGTCACCCGTCAACAAGCCTGATTTCGGAATAAGTTGACAAGCATGATTGGCTTCCAACGTAAACAAAAAAGGATAACCTAGGAAAGAACAAGTCACGATCAACATTGTTACTCTCCGCTGTGACCCTCTCCCAACTAGCAAATGGCTAAAAGTGTTGAACAGCAAAACGGGACAGAAAACGGATGTTGATCAGCAAGAAATGGGCTATCGTGGACAACTCGGAAAATCTCGGAAAGCCAGGATTGGAACCTAAACATAATATATAATACATATGCACATATACATACATATCCATATCCATATACATAGACATAGACACGGAAATATTTACAGTACATAACATATCTAATGGATAATCCCAGCGGTGCGAGGCCACGAAAAAACAGTCCCTACTGGATGATACCCAGCAGAATATCGCAAAGTATTGAGATCCCCAACAGTCTCAACAAAAATGTGTTCAAAATACTTCAAGAATTATCCAAAATTGGTGGCTGACAGAGCTTGGACAACTCTGGAAAACCCAATTTTTCAGCCGTGTTCTGACCCTGTGGCTATATCGTCACTAGCACCAAGACTTGCACTGTAGTCCTTCAAAGTGCGAAAAGAAATATCTGAAATCTAGGACACCCTAGTCATTGAAAATGCGAAGAGTCAGAAGAAAACACCCCAAAAAGAACAACTATGTCGTGAGCAACTGAACACCAGAATTTGGTTGGCCGTCCATTTAGCAGTTTTGCATGTTTACATATATATATATACATATATATATATACATATATATATATACATATATATATATATACAGTGTATATATATATATACATATATATATACATAATATGTGTGCTGTATGTATATATATATAGTATATACATTATATATATATACAAATATACTTATAATAATACATACATACATATGCGGGTTTCCCAAAATGGGCGATCCCCAAGTCACTATTCGTTTCAGCAGATTTGGGGATCATCTCCAGCCTGACATTCCAGCAGAGGCCATCACGCGGATGGCATCAAAGGCCAAGGTGGTGCCCCAGACTGTGAGGATGGGATTGGGGAAGCTCCTGGCCATTTTTGGGTCTTTTTGGGTCTGAAAATCGACCCCAACTGTTAAAGGATCCGAAAATACCAAAAAAACAATAGAAATGCTGTAAGTTCCCAAAATTCGGGAGGATAGACATGGCTGTGGCTCGGAAAGTTGATAAATGCCCGCCAGCCCAGCCATCACCGAGGGTCTGATGATACTCTGATGTCCCAAATGGCTTTGTCATCTTTGTCTGAAAATGGGTTACGTCCAGAAGTTCTTGGTAAGTCATTTTCATGATATTTCAATGGCCAGTCCTCTTGAGGGTTGGGTGAAATTCCAGAAAAAATGTTAAAAGGGGGATGCTGGGACATCCCAGCATTCATTGTTGGTTGTTATGGTTTTTATGTTATTGTTCAATGATTATTCCTTACCTTTGATGTTTTATGTGGTGGGGATTGTGGGACAATTTTGTCCCGAATTTTCACTTCATTGTTTGGTTTCAGATGAGGGTGAGAATTGTTTAGGTTGATAGGGTTTTTGTTTGTGTTTGGGTTTTACCTTCGCTTTTTCAATATCAGCCATTTCCAGCTATCATCCATCCATTTCAACCGTCTTGCTACGGCTTCATCTTCACCATGGGCATCAACAGAAAGCACGGCTGACCTGATTGTCGGTCGCAGTGTGGAGTGGGGGATGATGTCATTGAGCCATCGCTTTTTTTCACACAGAGGTCATTTTGAATGAACTTTTGACAGAACCAGTTGAATTGAACTTGACGTGCCCGTTGAGATTCAGTGACTGGTTTGCCCTTCATGGCAGCCATTTATCACTCATGGTCCTCATGGTCATATGCCGTGATGTAATCTTGCTGCAACCTTGCAGTACTCGCAGCTCTCCTAGTCACCTCTTCGTCCGTGCTTAGTCCATTTTTAAGGCTCCGAGCTGTTGAGAGGTCCGCAGATGGCGCCCAACGTGGGGCGCAGGCCACTCGCAAGGCTGCCTCGTTCATGGGATCATCCGTCTGTTGGGAAGGGGACCTATCATCATTGGTCAAGTTGTTTACACAAATCTGGATCTTTGACAATGATTCAATGATATTCAATGGACATTTCTACTGCAGATCGATCCCACATAGATTTGACCCAAGCTATAGCAACGACATGCTGACATACGAATTGCTGAGCAGCTTGCGCTGTAAAGCTTGTCTTTTCTTCTTGCATCAGGATCTACTTTGAAGAACTCATCCGTGAGTGCATTGCTTGGAACCAAACTCAGAGTGGATTTACTTCTCGTAATGCTCTGTCAGTGTCAATCCTCAACCTGAATTAAACACATATTTGGATAAGGATACATAATCCAGCATGATCTAGTACCTACATGAGCTATGGCTGGAGACTATATAATATTTTGTTTGTAATGCTGTTTTTGTTGCGTAGAATGCAGAAGCCACGATTATTTTCATCACAAACAGATTCGGTTGTCAATTCGCTGCCATGGCTGGACGGTGCTGACTTTTTTTCTGCCATTAAAAATATATATAGCTCTCACACCTTGGAGCAGTCACTTAAGCTGCAAATAACTGTACACCGTGAATGCACTAATATTGCCCAAGGTGGCCAGCAGCATCACGAAACCCCAAACGCCCTCAGGGAGACGCTCCAAACCCATAGTAATTGAGATCATCACTGTCATGGCCTTGTTGAAATTGCCGGCAAAAGTTGTGTACGTTGCAGAGAGAGACTGAGCCATGTCGATCTGGAGCACGTTGTAGGCGCATGCAAACACCCCCAGAAGGCACGCCAAACCCAAAACGCCTGGCGCCAATTGATATACCAGGGAGAAGACCTGGCAATCTGTCATGGGCTCTTCTTCAGGCCAGCTTGGGCTTGAAAGAAAAATGCTTGGTACCAACAAGAAAAGAGCCGCTGGCAAGCTCATGTAAAATGTCATATCCATAGAGCCCAGATTGAGCCTCTTTCCCAACTCGTTGGCCAGGACCATGTTCAGGGCACCGGCAAAAATGGACATAGTCTCAATTGCTACACCAAGGCCCAACTGGTAGTGATGCTCAGGCTCAGCAGCCTTCGACTTTGATTGAGCCAATGTGGCCAAGGCTGCGCAAGAGATTCCACAAAGCATGCAAATGATCTCCTTGACAAAGGTTGTGCTGCTTTTAGGCACTTTTCGAGGGACACAAGTCTGTATTGCAGTAGTTGCGATGGGCAGACAGGAGCGGAGGAGCAGGTTGAGAGAGAGCGGTAAAAACTGAAACGAAAAATTGTTCAAACCAATATTTGCAGCAAAGGATGCAGAGAAGAGCAAGAGCCACCAAACATCCGACAGCTTTGTCAGCGGTTGCGGCATGTAGGGCCATGGCGTCGTCCAGCTAAGAAGGAAGCCGATGCCGAACATCATAACAGCCATGAATTGATGCAAAGCTGTCATAAGAAAGGGGGCTGGCAATCCGTATAGACCAAGTTCCTCCGAAACAACCGTCCTGGAAATGAGGATCTTTGAGAGCAAGAGCATACCAGTCTGCGCACCGAAAAAAACCATGAGCTTCGACGGAATTCGACATCCAGGAACGCCTGAACAGAGACCACCTACGCAAAGCGCCGCCAATGGAATGGAGACCTCCTCGGCAGTGCGCGAAAACGCAGCGTAGGCTGATACATGGACGTGTGCCTGCTGCCTGTTGGAAAAGCAAAGGCAGGCGACTGCCAGCACAAGAATCCCATGCAACGCACGACCACGTCTGAGACGGAACTCAAATGCCGTCATCAGAACTCAGCAAACAGCCGTTGCGCTCTTTCACTACCCTTCTCTCCAGCCCAAACAATGCCGGCAACAGACTTTCATCATGACAACAAAAACGCCTCTTCAGTTTCAACATGTTTCAACTGATCACTATTAAAATCCAGCATTGATAGATGATGTTCCTCTTAAAATCCCATATTTCTATCGGAAATTTCCATGGATTTCCCACTGGAAGCCACAGCTGCTGAGTGCCTCGATCACAGCTGCAACACGACCACAGGGCACCGCGAGCTGCACCTGGATGGGGAGGTGACCAACGAACCAAGCAGTGAGTTGAACACCTTCAAAATCAGTGAAAGATAGAGAAAAATGTGACGAAAACCGTCATTGTCACAGATACTGCCATTTATTGGGATCATAATTGCTATCCCCAGTTGTGGCAGTATTAAACATATATACAGTAACCAGGGTGACCGCTGGGCAGTGATTTCACCATGGCAATTCATCAGCAAAGAAACCATCGAAGTTTTTCTGTGCGGCCCCGGCTGCATCCCAGCCTGGCAGACGGACGTCTGAAAAGACAAGATCTAAGACTGGCTCGGAAATGGACATGATGGTGATTTACCCTCTGGTTATTTAACGTAGCCATGGTATAGATGGCCCACTTATAGATGGTTTACCTATTAAAAATGGTGATTTTCCATGGCTATGTTATGCTATGTTGAATAACCAGATGGTATTTATCAAAAATCCGTGTGCGATCTGAAGATCCTCAAGAATGAAGGTGGTTGCTTTAAGCACCGCCACATGAATTTTCGGTCGCGGTTTCGCTGTTTGGTTTTCAGGGTGAATCAGTGCATAGATGTTGCAGGTGGTGCCCATTGGTGGATTGCCCGATGCCTTGAATCCCAAAGATCATGGATCTTTCAGCACTAAGCATTGGTTTCCGAAGCAGCAGGGAATGGGACAAACATCCTGTGACCTTGTGTGATAGGCGTTTGGAGCTTGTGCTGTGTACCTAATGACCTGCCTAAGTCTGAAGAAAACAACATCTCCTGTTCCACTATGTGGACCGTAGAGCATCTCTTAAAGCTGATTTCCATAGTGTTTCAACTGGCTGTGCAGTGATGCTTTGACAGCAGTGTTTACTTTTCCACTGCCACCAGCACCATGAAGTTAAATCCACCCGGTGGACCCCACAGCCGCCGCAGCAACGCGCTAAAGCTTTGCCTTGAATCCATCAAGGCGCTCGCAGGCGATGGCACCCACATACCTCAAAGGTATCACTGGATGTATCCCACAGGCGATCATGTTTGCTTCTGTTTGGCTATGGCTAGTTACGGCTAGTTGTCCCAATTCCTGCCCGCAAATGCGGTCAGAACCATTCTTGCCAACCACTTGTTGAGATGATCTCAGGACTTCATGGGCTGTGGTTGTTCGGTTCTTAGGCGCTTAGGTGCGCGGTCTGGTTGTGACAACTGAGAATCCACAGTTGAAATTTGTGCAGGGGATCAACACAATCAACACCAAGTTGATACACATTAGGAGAATTCCCTTTTGAACCCTCAGCGTCCCAAAAAACAATTGAGCACTAAGCTTGTTCGAGTGCCCACCTTTGTCATGAAGGGATTCAAGCTGCGTTGAAAATCCAAGAAACATCTGTGTTTTGGGAAAACAAAATCATCGCCAAGTTTTAGAAGCTAACTTGAAGCTAAGGTTTGCTGTTGTCGTTTTCCTAGCAGCTGTATAACTTGGTATGACTGTATGACCCACAAAATCCGAAGCCTGCAAGCTGGTCTTCCCCAACCACATCCCACAATCAAATATCAATCTCTCAAGACCCAATGCTCAAACTCTAACAGTTCAATATCCTCTTCCCTTCCATCTGGGTGTCCAGACGAAAAGAAAACGAAAATGATGATGAAGAGGCCGTGGTAAACGGGAGCGGACGGGTGACAACCACACACACACACATAAACCCTAACAGCAACAACAATTAACCACCTCATTCAAACCAAACATCACCATATCACTTTAGGGGCAAAATCGTCCCAAAATCCCCAACACAAAAAACAAAGGTAAGGATGAAACATTGAACAATAACATCAAAAACCATAACAACCAACAATGAATGCTGGGATGTCCCAGCATCCCCCTTTTACCATGTTTTTCCAAAGATTACCTTCTTACCACCTCCAGCATGAGGGCTGCCACCCCAGTCCTTCGTTGCCAAAAGTGGCCTCCGTTCTCTTCCTCTTCCTGATCGCCATGCCAACGGATGCGGCAGAAAGGGCACCGCGCCAAACCTCAACGGGACGGCGGGGCCCTTTTGGGTGAACTCCATGCGCGTCTGGAGAACTGTCACAGTGGTAAGCACACATCGCTGCTTTAAAGCTGCATCCAAAGATTTGGGATCCAAAACCCCACCAATCCATGTACTTTGCCAAAGGAAAACCATTTTGGTTTGAGGACCTCCCCATCTTGTCGTGAACACCGACATGGGGCATTTCCTTTTGAACCGTACAGCCAAACCCATGGCTTTCCCCTTCTTTCAGCAACAAAAATGTCGCCCAACCGCATGACAGCCCCCATTTTTTTCGAACCATCCCATTGGGGGGTTCCGCTCCCCAGCAGGGCCCAGCAGGGCCCAGCAGCAAAGCTGACAGTGGCAGCAGAGGGATTGTTGGCAACAGTCCAGCTTCACAGCCCAATGTCGTCCCACAGGTTCAGGCCGTTCCTCCCCCTGCGGCACCTCTGGCTCCTGAGCTCAGAGAGCGAGCAGTTGATGTGACGAAAATCTCTCTGAGGGTTGCAGCTATATTAATCACTGAATTCGCTTCGCAAGATCTCTGTAGCCTTCCAGTGACTCTGTTAAACTCCAGGCACCGGCTCGTAGGTCTCGAAGCAAATGGGGCAGTCATTCAGCGGATCCATTGCGCTGAGGATAGGGAGGAGACTGATCGACTAGTTGTTTTTCTTTTATGGGGGATCCCCAAAACCATAGGTTTCAATACTAAAATGGTCTAATGACTTGGATGATTTGGGGTACCCCTATTTTAGGAAACCTTCATTTTGTGATGTCACACCATCCCAACTCTGGTCATCTGGAAAGTTTTGCTTTTATCACAAGAAATAGATCTACTTGTCTATATATGATCCTAAGAATATCTTACACCAACTTTTAGCAACCTGTCCGAGTCTACCGCACTGCTGGGTGATGGGATGTACTTGTGTGGATCTCTTTCACGAGGACCTTCGCTTCTTTCGAGCCACACGTCAGCGACAGCAGCAAAAATCCGATACGGCTCTGTCACTGAACGTTAATGCACAAAACAAAGACATCAAGTGGGAGATTTCAGGATCATTCCATAATTCATCTCGCAGGAGGCACGGAGTCTCAAAAACTAATCTGTGTTTTCAGAGTCATTGTTGGGGCGCTTTTTGACGGGAATCTAAGACTAGGGGAAGAAATCCATACCATGAGCCCAATGATTATATAATCTATAATTCATCTATATATACAGTATACATGTACCAGCCATATATCATCTGCCAGAAATAGGTGGTACATGGTGGTACAATGTACAGACCATCGCCACCTCTAAATATCACTAGGAACTAGGGCATTGGGATGGTGAAATGCAGGTTGTTCCAGGTCCTGCGGCCCATAAACAGGCGCCTTCTGGCTCAGACATCAGGCCGGAAAAGCCGAGGTGTCGGTTGTGAGTCGGAAGGCAACTGGGGGATGAAGATGCACCCCATGTGAAACATGGCCAGATTCGGAAACGATTCAGAAATGATTCGATAAACCATGAGATGGTTTGTGGGCGGAACTGAACATCTTCAAATACGCCCAAATCTTCCAAGCCTTGGGTTTTTTTGGGGGGTCCAAGATTTGGTGCATTATTGGGTCTTCGAAAAGTCACTAACTTCTGTGCATTCACCGGGTCAAAGATATAGCCACTTTCATTTGGGAAAATTGAGCTAGATCAGAAAATTGTGAATCCACTTTGACAGTTTTTGGTTTTTTGCAACTTGACTTCAGCCAACGAAACACCTGGAGCCAAGGCCAAGGTGGAAAATGTCTGAGAAAAACGGCAACCTACTACACCTACGGACCTACGGACCTAACGATGGGTGGATGAATTGTAAACCGTTAGATCCAAATAGCTGGTGGATTTGGTCATTTCCTCGAAATTGCAGGACCATCTAGGACAAACTCCCCTTTCCAACCTTGAAACTGACCTGAAGATGTACCGCAGTTCCGGTGCTCTGAAATCCACTGGTTCATCATTACCCTCTGGTAAACGTTTACATAACTATGGAAAATCACCATTTTTAATGGGAAAACTCACTATAAATGGCCATTTTCAATAGCTATGTTAAATTACCAGAGGGTATTTCCCTACCTGAGTCGTCCCAAAATGGGGAGTCCTGTCATGGGCACTCCGTTCCGCCCAGGCACGCTTTCCTCGACCCACCTGAGTTGCTTGGAGGCATTCCAAATCGTGATGTCACAGGGTAATCGTGATTTCCCAAAACATCCGAAAAAAACATGAAAACTGCGAGAAAATATATGGTTCACTTCCATGCACACGAGTTCAATTGTGAAAATATGTCCTCCAGGCTGGGCAATTAGCTGTGAGATTAGTTCGTGATACACTACTGGACTGCGCGGTGTGCACAATGGAAACCATCAAAAGCTGCGAAATCTTGTCAGATGCGTCCGAAGCACGTCCCTTAGTGTTAGAGCGTCACCATGGTCTCAACAAGACTTGCAGGAGAAATTGTCGACGGATCAATTGAGGTGGCATGACTCATGCCAAAGTCCATTTCAAAAGGTCAAAATTTTTGTTAGTAAAACAACCATTTCATCCCTACTTGAGGGAAAAACCACGACCTTTCGACAATTTGAAGCCATGGCCATTGAAATCCCCTACACGGACTGGTAATTTGTTCCAGTTTGCGGACCTGGAAACTGGAACGTCAGCATAGACCCAGCCACTGCCTGCAGAACGAACCCAAGGACCAAGTGTTTTTCTTGGGTCATGGGAAAAA